TGGCCGGTCTCCAAACCCCACAGCTCCGTAACTCGGATTGTCTTCCGAGGAGCACGGAGTACAGTGGAATCCTTGTATTCGACCATCCGCACCTCGTTTGTAGAGAGTCGAACGCACTTTTCCCATATAGAAAGCAAGTTCTAGCTTCACGGATGATGCAAATAAAGCTTCTGTGTAGATCTAGGAGTTTTCATAACTGATATATCGTTCAGTTAATAATCACATTCTTAACGTTCAATGACCAATAATACTGATAGTATATGCAAACATTATTGCCGGAAAAGACAAGGTAAACTGGGATGGCCATTTCTAGCTTAATAGCCGTCGTCAGCTGGTCATATCCAGACTCAAGTGGTGCCTCAATATGCTTTGCTCGTAGATTGAGGGTACAGTGTTTACAATTCGTTAAGCAGAAAAAATAACACCTCATAAGAAGCCACAATGCCACCTTTGTTTACTTATCCAATTTCAAGTATAATCAATCAGTGTGAATGTTAAATATGCCTTAAATCGGTTGGTGGAGACATAGCAAACCTACACACTTAAAAGTTGATGATAAATATGAGAGAAGGAAATATTTTCTTTACAATTAGCGGAATGCCAGCTCATTCATTCGAAGACACTCTGCTAGAGGGCAGTTGTGAGCGCAGGGTGATGTCGAAGGAGTGAAATGTATGGGCGAAATGCTAACCAAAAAATCTATTGCTTTCTCTCTACAGCCCAGAGAGTTTAACCTTTAACATCTAGCAAGTATCCACCTTGACACCTGTCCTCACTGTTAGAGTGCACGCTTCGTAGGCTGCGCAGATGGCCAGTGCTAATCTGCGTTCGGATTATCGATCCATTTGGCGAGATTTCGCGATAATCGATTTTTCCTGAGTAAATTAATTAGCGCACGTGGGATCTTCACCGACGGGCTCTACTTGTTTGCATATCGATTGACTAATGCGTTAAAACGGCCAGGTGCCAAGTGCGTAAGCCGGCCCTGATGAGCATTTTTCAGTCAACCGGCCTCAGCCGCCAAAAAAACGATAAGTATTGCAGCCTAATAAAAACGCAACAGAAGGATCTCATTAGTATTCTTGTTGTTTTCAGTACAGTAAAATCCTGTGTCTTCTAGACAAAGTATCAAACAGTTTTGTCGGTTTTCAGTTCAGAGGATTATTTCGGTGGCACAGTTGAACACTTTTGTCGCCGGAGCTAAACTCTGGCTCCGGAGGGAAAAATATAAATCGGATAAGTTAGCTCCTGTCAAATATCCGAAGGTACTTATCACTGTAATTACCAACCTACAACTTTCCATAAAAGTACTTACGATAAGGGATACAAAGGTCAAAAACAAGGGAAAATTTCGTTCTTACTTGAGGCAAAAGAAAATTATGAGGTAGTGAAGAATTATGTTCAGCGGTTAGGATTCCTGGCTCTCACCCAGGCGGCCCGGGTTCGACTCCCGGTCGGGGAGCAACGTTTTAGCAACAAAGCTAGTAAGAGGTCTAAAAAACCACACTTACATAGATAGACTG